TACACGATACATACGAGTCATATGACAGTCATGGAAAAAAATACAAAAATGGGAAAAAAAACATTAGCTAGATTATACACAGACAATTCGTTATTTTTGCGATTCGCTTTATGCTTGATTACTCTTATTTGCTGGGAAAATCATTAATATATAGCAGCGAAACTTAGCTTGCATGACTGCATCGTGGAAGAGTGCAGGTTCAAGTTACCCGCTCTTCCTTCTCTTATGATATAGCTGATAAGTCATCAACACGTACGTAATATCAGGCTCGTGTTGGGACGTTGTACACATGGCGTGTCGTAAAAGCGACACGCAGCTGGACGAGAGAATCAAAGAGACGGGACGAGGATTGAACGTTATGGGAAGCCGTTAGATTATTTATTTTTTATCAATTCACGGAAATTTCACGTTCCAGTAGTGATAGAAAATTAGATTTTACAGAATTTACAGCGTAGGAAACACGTGCGTATATTCGTGTAACCTTTTAACTGTGCGATGCCGGGGTCTCGTTTCCCGACTGGAAATTGCGCGATAAAGAGAAAGGATTAAATGGAGACGAAAAAGCAGAAAGAGAAAGAAAACGAGGAAAGAGAGAGAGAGAGAGAGAGAGAGAGAGAGAGAGAGAGAGAGAGAGAGAAAGGAATGAAGAATGAAAGAGAAGAGAGAACGACAGAGAAGAAAAGAGAAAACCAGAGAAAGAGAGGGGAGGAGAAAGGATGAGTGAGAGAGATAGGAGGGGTGGGGAGGAAGGGAGGAGGAAAGAAGTTCCAAAGGAAAGTAGAAAGGAAGAAGGAGGGGGAGGGAGGAGAACGTACTACGAATACGCGAGTATCGACTGTAGTATAGTAATAGTACTATGAGTCAGTCACACCCACAAGCCAAGCCGGTTGTGGGTTCAAGATTTTTTTCTCTCTCTTTTGCATCTCTCCTCGTACGCACGCACGCACGCACTGCGTCACGCATCGGCACGAGGTCACACGTACATATCGTATCTATCCGGCCTTGCCTTGCAGCGCTCTAATCGCACACTCATTGCGCTTGTAACGCAGCAGCGATAAGAACCAGAGTATGAGTTTGAGCGTGGGAGTTTTCGAAGCGTCGCGCCCGGATAATCGGCGGGAATTGGCCGTATCGATCAGGACCGTAGCATCAAGCTAGCGATGAGAGCTAACAAAGTTAGCGAACTTGCTTTTCGAGCGAGGGAGGTAAACCTTCATTATGGATTTTCTTTTTTTTTTGTCTTTTCTTTTTCAATGGGAGTTTTGAAAAAAACTCGATGAAATTGCGACTGTCGTCGAATGTCTCTTTATTGATTGAAACATTCCTCATTCTTATAAATCTTAGGAAATAAATTTCAGAAATTTTTCTTTCTTTTTTGTTTCTCTTTTCCTCAAGAAATTGGACACCATACTTTTGATTCATATTTTTCAGGACTTACTTGAGATAAAATGATATTTATGTATCTCCTTCCAGCTTAAAATAAATCCCAAAAAATATGACAGAAGTTATCGAAATGAATACGATGTTCAATTTTTATTTAAGGATTTTTATCCCAGGGCTCCTCGCGGCTATAAACCGATCCTGATTGCGCGCCTCGGTTGAGTGCTCGAAACACCTGACGAAACGTCCGCGGCGATGCACTGCGATGCACGATGCAACTGATAAATACAGAAGTGAGAGGGGCAGGACGTACACTCGGAATGTATCAGAATGTATATGCGCGAATTCCCGCGCGGCCGAACGCACGAAGAATCGCTTTTGTGCGAACGACCGAACGGAAACGAACGGCTAGTTCTGTGAAAGATGCATCTTAATCCTTCCTCTTTATTCATTTTCTGATTTAGCACGGGAAATACGGGCGAATCTCTGTCATCGATTTCACCAGTACGAGAATGTTGAAGGAAAATTGTCTCGTGTTCATTTTTACAAATGTAACAGAATTATGCCTGTTTCTACCAATGTAGATTAATTTTAATCTTAATTTTATCTACTTATTTTTTCTATGTCTAATAATAATTAGAAAAGTGTAAAAAGTATTCTCTAAAACTGTAAGATTGTATCTTACTCTGTATAAAGTGAAATTTCACTCCTAAAGATTGAAAATTGAGCCACTCTTTTTCAAGATTCGTTCAATTCGTATTTTTTAAAGATTCCTTTCCAAAAAATTTAGAGAGTAAATTAAATCCACATTGGTAAAAATAAATCGATTTCGATTTCGATATCAATTCGTTAAAATTAATTTATTAAAAAATTAACTTTAATCTCGGTTTAATTTGCTCTAATTCTTTTTCTAATTCTCAGAACAAGAAAAATTGCAAGATTTCAAATTTATATAATAATTCTTTAATTCACAAATTTCTAATTTTTAAGATTAAAAAATATACAATTTTCTAGAATTAAGAAAATATAATTTTTTAATTGAAATCCTTAGAATTATAGAAAGATAAAAAATAACTTGAACTGAAATTAAAACTAATTTACAATGATAGAAATGTTGAGCATCAGTGAAAATTGTCGAGGTGACGAGATCTGAAGTCGGAGCTGCAACCGAGGGCCCTGGTGCCATGGCGAACTCGCGTGAGTGCGGCCGAGTTCTTTGTGATCAGAGCTCGACTGAGAAACCGGTTTCATTGGCGGAAGGCCCTCTCTCTCTTCGTTTCTCTCACTCCGCCAAGCGAACCGAATATGAATCGCACGCGGCCCGTTTCAATAGACAAGGGCCCCATCGACACGGTGTGTACGCGCGTAAACTGGTTATCGCCGATCGTATGTAATCGACATGCGGACGACACGCGTCCGCGGCGGTTGTGTATCGATAAACGCATGCACGCAGATGCGAGAAACGGTGTGTCAACCCTCGTCTCTCTTTCTCTCTCTCTCTCTCTCTGTTTCTTCCGCCCTTTTCCTCTTTTTTTTCTCTTCACGCCAGATTATGTAAGCGGGATGAATGTTCCGAGGATCCGTCCGCAATCGTGAAGCTAAATATTTAGCGAGAAAAAAATATTTGGAATATTTAATGCAATCAAATCGCATAAATTAATTATCTACATATATTAATTATCTACACATAAAAAATTAAAAGAGGAACTTATCGATGATCACCATGATGTTAATTGGATCAATATAACGAACGCGACAACGAACTCGAAACGCGAAGTACGCTTATCAATGTTTTATTATAAAGTTGCAGTCATTGCACATTATACAATTTTTACGCATTAATTTCGTGTATTTTTTTTACACGAAAGTTACACACTCATTAACGCTATATAGAAATATTACAAACAGGTACAAAAACTACGCTACTTTAATTTAACTGCTATCTTATACTACCATTTTCGCTCGTTTTCTCTTTCTCTTTCAATCACAACCACCTATTTGTTTATCTAAATGCCTTGTAAGCGTTAGAGCTCGGTCTTGCTCGCGTGGAATGAAATTACGTTCGAACGCAGCGAACGATATACATATAAATACAATGTACAATTACGCCATATCCGAATGAAACTTCGACGATGAAATTCTTAAAATGTGTGGTGTACGATAATCCAATTCAAATTTATCAAACATTTTTTTACATTAAAAATATTATAAAAAAAAAAGAATTTATCATTGAAACCTCATCCATGTTCATATAAAGATAAAACTTAACGATAAAATTTTTTTATTTACATCAAATTCATCTATTTGAACTTATTGAAAACTTTTAACATCGGAAAGAAAAAGAATTTATCATTGAAACTTTATTCACATTTTTATAAAGATGAAACAATTAAATTTTTGAAAATTACGACAAATACGTCTATTTGAATTTATCGGAATATTTTTAACATCAGAAGGAAAAAATTTTTGTTGAAATTTCATCCATATTTTAATAAAAATGAAAATCACAATTAAATTTTTTAAATCGATGAATTATGACAAATTCATTTATTTGACCTTATCAAGAATTTTTAATATTAAGAAAAAGTATTTATTATTGATTTATCTTTATAAACATAAAACTCAACAATGAAATTTTTGATATCAAAAAGAAGAATCGTCGTTGAAACTTCATGTTGTAATAGGAGATAAAATTTTCAGAATCTACGATAGATTCGTCTATTAAAAATTTATTGAAAATTTTTGAAATCTAAAAATATATGAATGGAAAACAAAATGTCATCGAAATTTCATCCATATTCTATAAGCATTCAAACATTCCCTTATGTAATTTGGAATCCTAAAATTGTTAACGTAAAAAATTGATACCAATTAAAATTAAAATAAATTAGGGATTTCCTATTAATTAGCAATATCAGTCAATATATATAATACACAAAAAAATCATCACGAGCTAAATACGATTTCATAAAAAAAAAAAAAAAGATTCTCAAAAAACTTTACATAATAATCACGCATAAAAGAGTAGCACTGAATGAGTTACAGTCCTCGAAAGATCGGTATGAGATCGCGTGTCTTATCCTTACATAATCTACATGTTAATCTGCTACGTTCTTATTTTATCTTTGACCATTCTTGGCAGTGACGATTCGTGAGCTTCGTGTTAATTTAGTTCCTATCGCGGACGGTACGTGGAAGCTGGCGCGTATTATTTGTGTTCTGTATTTTTCAAGAGTTGCAAATAAAAAGATCGAGAGATTAATGGATCATTAAAAAAAGTTTATTATAAAATTGTTGTGGCGCCGTTAGACATGTTAGGCGAGCGCTAATTTAGTGATATACAATAGTCGTCCCCGGGCAGCACCTTCTATCGGATTTAATCGGTTCAGAATTTTTGTTGCTTGTTATGGCTATTTTCTTGTAAATATGCGAACATGCGTAGAATAATTAAATAACCATTTGGAAAAACTTTTCTATGCGCATGTCTACAGGATGGTCCCACATTATGGTTCTAAAAAAAAATAGCCTTTGTACATTGTATATGTACAGATTTGTACACTTAAAAATTACAGTTATGTACAAGCGCATTGTATAAAAAAGGTACATCGTCGTATAAAACACAAGTATTTACAAAATCTCAGACTGTAAAAAAAGTTACAGGACACAATTATTTACAATAGTCTAGCAATAAAAAAGGAGGTGTGTACTTGGCCGCGTGTATATATTTAAATAGGAGATCATATAAATGTTCCAGGGATTTAATCCGCCTCGAGAAGCGATTCGGCATTCGGAGGAGCGGTGCCTCCGGGCCGTAACGCCACGAGGTGCGCTTTTTTCCGGGGCGACGCCGCGTCCTGTCGTTGGACAGGTTGACAAATAAAATCGTTGCCCGTCAACATTTTCTGGCGCTTCGAGCACGAGACGAATTCGTACACCAATGGCTGCTCTTGCCTAGAAAAGTTGTTTAGTCGCGTGTCGAGTAACTCGGTGGCATTCATGAGATCAAGATCTTCGTAAAGCTGCTCCACAACGATATCGTCGTCGACGATGTCGATTTGCTTGGTTTCATCATACGTAACGTTTTCATCGTCGTTGATGGTCTCGTCTACCACGGATCCACCAGTCTCGGAATCCGCATAGCTCTCTGCGTCATCGTATGCCTCATCGTGTCTGTCTCCCTCGTACTTCATTTCACCCCGCTCGAGGAACTCCAACTGTTCTGGATTCACCATGGCTCGCTTGATCGCACTCGGATCCTTTCTCGACCATTTCCGCACTTCCTCGTCCATCTTGGCCACTTTCGATGGATGGATGGCCCAGAGACAACCCTTTCGCTGACTACCATTGCCGGGTGGTTTCTCGATCTTCTCGAAACACTTATTCAGCGACAAATTGTGCCTCACGGAGTTCTTCCAACCAGTTGGCGCAGTCGTGAAGTAGGGGAAGTGCCGGCTACATAAACGAAACGGGAAAATGGGAAATGAAATTTGCACGAATCGAAATTTTCATTAACAAAAAAAAAAGAAATCGTATATTAGGTGTCAGAGAATGACTTGGTAATTGACACTTGAATTTATTGATAATTAAATTTATATAAAATTGATGGATCGATCGAATTTAATTTGATCAGGATTCTAATATAATAATATTCGGATAAAATTTTAGCGAATTTCATTTTCTCGAGAAATATTGCTTTTTTTCGTTATTTTGAAAAATGAGACAATCTGTAAATTAACCATATTTTAACGTTATTTGAGATGAAAAAATTCAACCGAAACACGACTGCAAGGAACGACAGTTATTTTACAAGCATGGCCGATTTTACAAGCATGGAGTTGCAACGACAAGAAATGAAGGCAGGTGGTAAACGAAGAGAGCGAAGCCTGCCGTCAATTTCTAGGGGGGACTGTACCCCGGCGTGCCCCTGGTTATTCCAAAGGCCCCATACAAAATGGCAGCTTCTCGCTTAGCTCCCTTTCTGACCCGAGAATAAAGAGGGAAAAGACAATACTTTTGCCCCTCGTAAGCGTAGAGTAGGGGACCTCGCCAGTCCCTTTATCCTTCCGGCCAAATGGCCGAAAATAAGCAAACGGACGACACGTTATTCATCACGTAAAAAGTTCCTTGTCGTTCATCCCGAAAACATTATTTGTTACGACTCACGTTCATTGCGAACTATAATGAATAATATATTAACAAACAAATTCAGAGTAAATATTTCAGTTTCAATTGTCAAAAGCGCGAGAAAAAAAATTCGAAAAAAAAAATGTATTAAAAAAGATTTCAAAAATTTGATCGAAATTACTTTATTCAAAACAAAACAAATGAGTTCCTTTCCAATATTTTTAATAAAATCATAATTAGATCTTATAAAATTAGTTATTTGCAGCAATACAAATTTTCAAGCAATAAGTAAAATAATTAACTTGGGACACACATTTGAAAAATGGCATAAATTAAAACAAAATTTTTGTCTCTTGAAATTTTTGTCTAAAAATTATTTAAATATTAATTAAATATTTAATTATCTAACAATTTATACAAGTGTTGATTAAATATCTAATGTATTTTTCTGTATTAATAAATTTAAGAGCACTCACCACATAAAATTGTAGATTTCTGAAACTGGCAACGATCCTGTTCGGCTGTTCTTCAGTGCCATCGCGATGAGACATGAATACGAGTACGCGGGTTTCGGATAAGAGTTGTCACGGTTCCCTAACATTAATTCCTTCTCACGCTTTGCCGCCTGTATCATGACCGTCGTCGCACCTGTACTGACGTCATGCACATTATTGTTGTAGGACATATGTTTGCGAATCTGTTGCAATGCCTGGGCACTTGGATTAGTTTGCAACATCTTAATGTCCTTGGCTGTGCTTGATATGGTGCTTATTTTAGGATGCAACCTCGTCAGTTGTATCGTCGGCGAGGAGATGGCCACGTTAGCACCAGTTAATGTCCTGGCGCCGACATTGCCCGATGACGATGATATCGGCACCTCCACATTCAAGGGTGTGAGCGACTTTTGAGTCATGTTCTGCTCCTCATCATCCGTCTCCTCATCTTCCTCTACCTCTTCCTCTTCCGTTTCTTCTTCCTCCGTCTCATACTCCGTCTCATTATGCTCGTCTTCAACTTCGATCTCTTCTTCCTCCTCGCTTTCATTCTCTTCATCGTTTTCGGTTCGTTCGACCTCACTTTCGTTCTCCGTCTCATCTCCCTCGTTTTCAATAACGTTCTCCTCCACGCTCGCTGTTTCCAACATCGCTGTGTCGCTATTTGTCGCGGGACTGCGGATAGGCATGTTACACGGCAGTATCAAATTCGGATCCAACGTCAAAGCCAGTTCGCTGTCACTGTCCAGATTCAATTCTTCCAGGTTGCTATCAAACACAGATATAATGTTAGAGTAAGAGCACACGATAGACAAAGGGTACATTTCGTTCATTCAATGACACAACATCAGTCTATCTTTCTTGATATTCAATAGTACCAAGATGAAATGATATTCGTTGCTGAAGTCATTCAATGTGTTGGTCGATTACTATGTCGTTTATGGAAAGTTGGCATGTATGTAATCGCGCACATGGGTACATGATAAAATTGTTATTGCTTTCCATAAATGATATACAATCATTTGTATATGATAATAATCATATTATGTCATAATCGATATTTTGTTTATCATGCACTCTTTAAACTTTTTATAAAATTAATTAAAATTGAATGAGATTTTCTTAATTCAATTTCCAAGTTTCAGTAAAATATTTCGAAATCCTGAATTCTCCTCTCTTTTTTAACTTTAAGCAACGTTTACTGGCACTAGTAATAACTCTGTTTCATGGTCATTATAAATAGAAAATTCGAAGGGTTCGTTTTACCTGTTCGAACTGCGGCTTTTGTCATTCATAGCAAGCGGATCTTCATCGGGTTCCGTCAAGACGTCATCGAAATCGAAGCCAAGGCCTGGACCAAACCAGCCAATTTGGCTCGTATTATCGCAACGCCGAATACCCATATGTAACATCTCTGGACGACCCTGGAAGGCGTCCGAGATGCTGTCACTAAACAGACAGTCCCATGGATCCCCAGACAATCCCTGCTCCATCCCGACGGTACTGTACGCATTTACGGTATCCAATTCCATTCACTCGACTGCAAGAAGATGAATAATAGCATCTTTAGAAGAGTGTTCTTAGAAACTTGCCAAATAATGTATAACTAAATTGCAACTCATTGCGAATTATTTGCCCGGAGTTTCATTTTCGTAAAAGCGATATAAACGAAACTCCATATGAAATTTGTCTATCGTGAAAGCGAAATTGTACTTTTATAGCTCCATAAAGAGTCTAACTATATTACACACACATATATATATATATATATATATGAAGTC